ATGACTTTGCCTACATTGCTCTTCATTCCCACTACGAGCCACCTACAATTACTGCTGCCCGCTCTTGCCCCGCTGCTCCCCAATGGCTTGCTGCTGCTAACGCTGAAATTACTGCACTCCTGGCCAACCACACTTACAGCATTGTGCCCAAACCGCCCGACTGCACTCCTACCCCTTACAAATGGGCTTTCAAGGTCAAAGAGAACCTGGATGGATCCATCGAGCATTATAAAGCCCGTTCGGTGATTAAAGATTTCACGCAAAGTGAGGGCATTGACTACACTGAGACATTTGCACCCACCATTCGCTTTGCTACACTTCGCTTGCTCCTCACCCATGCTGCTGCCCTTGATCTTGAGATGCATCAACTCGACATCTCCAATGCCTTTCTCAATGGCAACCTTGACGAGATTATTTACATGACCCAGCCACCCGGTTTTGAACTCCTTCCTGCCAACGGCTCTCCTCAAGTTTGCCTCCTGCACAAGCCCTTGTACGGCCTCAAGCAGGCTCCTCGCTGTTGGTACGAAAAACTGAAATCGGAGCTTCTCACATTTGTCCTTCACACCTCCGATGCCGACCCCGGACCTTTCATTGCTGCACCCTCCTTACCTCTTCTTCCACATCCTTCCCACAATAGGGGTTGGGTTATATTAGCTATAGGGTGCCCCCTGAGTGACTTTATCAAGTGCTAGGCACCCCAAATTCGGCTTTAGGGCACCCCAACACGTTTCCCAACCTTGGGGACGCGGCTCCAGCCTGGACCAGCGAATTTCAACATCGAAAACGCGGCTCTAGCTTGGAATTCGCGTTTCCAATTCGTGGAATCGCGGTTCCACTCAAGGGGGCGCTTCCAAGCCCACTTTGAGGGTCCCTCACGTCCCCATCTTGACTGTGGGTGACTTGAGCACCCATTTAGCCACACTAAGTCCCTTGGGTACCAAATTCATCTCCTGGACCAACCCAAGTCGCCTCCAAGGTAGCTCTCTTCACTTTCTGCCTATTTTAGCTTTTGTTTTGCTTGTATTCATCACTTTAGTTAACTTTCTGTTTGTAGACCCTTTTCAACATTTCAGAAGCAGCTTCTCCTTGTGCACATTGTGCACATAGGCCTGATTTTCTACAGATGGGGAAACAGTGGGGCATGGAGAAACAGTGGGGCATGGGAAAACAGTAGGATGAGCAGTGGGGCATGGGGAAACAGTGGGGTGCATAGTGGGCGTGGGGAAACAGTAGGATGAATAGTGGGTGATGGGGAAATAGTGGGTCATGGGGAAATAGTAGGGCATGGGGAAACAGTGGGGGATGGGGAAACAGTGGGGCATGGAGAAACAGTGGGGGATGGGGAAACAGTAGGATGAGCAGTGGGGGACGGGGAAACAGTGGGGTGAACATTGAGGGATGGGGAAACAGTAAGATGGACAGTGGGGGATGTGAAGTGAGTGGGATGAACAATGGGGAAAATGAGGTGAGTGGGGGAAAACAAAAAACCGGGTGAGTGAGGGAAAACAGAAAATGAGTAGGAAGGGCGGAATGAGGAGGAAAGGCGGAATGAGGAGGAAAGGCGGAATGAGGAGGAAGGGCGGAATGAGGAGGAAGGGCGGAATGAGGAGGATTGGGTGGAATGAGGAGGATTGGGCGGAATGAGGGGGGAGCGCAGAATGCGGAGTAAGGGCGGAACGAGGGGGATGTGCGGAATGAGCACGGAGGGCAAAACGAGGGGGGGAGCGCAGAATGAGCAAGAAGTGCGGAACGAGGGGGGAAGCGCGGAATGAGCAAGAAGGGCAGAACGAGGAAAAAGGGTGGAACGAGGAAAAAGGGTGGAACAAGGAAAAGGGGCGGAACGAGGAAAAATTGCGGAACGAGGAAAACGGGCGGAGCAGGGAGCTTCCTGGTGCGATGCAGGAAGCTTCATGCTCTTGGGCAGCAGTGACACACCGTGGAAGCTCTGCAAGTACACGGAGGGAAACAGCACAAGGTTTCACACAAGGAGAAGTTTCTAATGTGAAAAATGTGTGAAAAGTCTCTAATGGGATGAGGGGAAATGGATGATGGGATGAGGGGAAATGGATGATGGGATGAGGGGAAACGCATGATGGGATGAGGAAGGGCGAAACGAGGAGGAAGGGCGGAACGGGCAAGGCCGGACCGAGCAAGGTCGGAACAAGCAAGGGCGGAGTGCGGAAGCAATTTTCTCACCAAGTTTCCGAAACGAGCGTGGCGCTCGGTCCGCGGCACAGATCACGTTCTTCGCGTCGCACATCTGCCACGTGAGCTAGGGAACCATGAGCGCATGGTGCTGTTGCGACCTGCGCCACGTGAGCAGTTGTTAAGGAAATTAAACCACTTTCCTCGAGTCGGAAACTCCCGATTTAGATTTCCCAGCTTCAGAAGCCTCTCATCCACTCAACCTGCCCTGCTCCTTGCCATGCTTCCAGATGTGCCATCCCAAGGGTCTTCTTGACTAATATTAGAAGGGCAGCAGAGCGTGAAATTAACGCTTGAGCAATAGGATCAACAATGTGAAAAACGTGTGAAAAGTCTCATCCACTCAACCTGCCCTGCTCCTTGCCATGCTTCCAGATGTGCCTTCCCAAGGGTCTTCTTGACTCATATTAGAAGGGCAGCAGAGCGTGAAATTAACGCTTGAGCAATAGGATCAACAATGTGAAAAACGTGTGAAAAGTCTCATCCACTCAACCTGCCTTGCTCCTTGCCATGCTTCCGGGTCCGCCCTCCCTCCAGCAACTGTGGTAGTAGGAGGTTGGGACCCACATGTCCTTTGTCTCACTTCTGCCTCCTTACCTGCCTTCTCAACTCCTTGCCCCCTCCTGCTTGTTTTCTGATCCTGCAGGTCTGCCCTCGCGCCAGCGGCAGCAGGGGGGTGGGCGCACATGTCATTTGCATCGCAGCTGCCGTCGCACTGCTGGAATCTCACCACCGCTGCTCTCCGATCCAACGGCTCTCAGCTGCCCATGCCCTTCAACACCTGGTCCTCCTTCTCCTCCTCCCCCACTGCTCCCACTACCACCACTGCTGCCCCTGCCTCCGCTCCTGCTTCCTCCCCTCCTGCTGCTTCTGCTGCTGACACCACTCAGATTCTCGACTTTGTCCCCTCTCCCTCCTACACTCTCTTCTTCTCCTACTTCGATCAGACCCTCTCCTTCCCCCACCTCCCCCCCTGCTTCCAGGCTGTCATGCCTCCCCCTCCCTCCCTCCCAAACCCTTCCCCTTCCCCTCCCCCTCGCCCACCCCCCCGTCCCCCTCCAAGCCCCCCACGGCCTCCCCCAAAACCCTCACCTCCCCCCTGGCCCCCCCCAAGTCCCCCTGGGCCCCCATCTCCCCCACCCCGACCTCCGCCGAATCCCCCCAAGCCACCCCCTCCTCCTTCCCCTCCCCCACGCCCTCCCCCTCGCCCTCCTTCCCCCCCTCCCAAGACTTCAACCACTAGTAAGCCCCCTCCCTCCCCTCCCCCTAAGCCTCCGCCCTCCCCTCCCCCTAGGCCTCCGCCCTCCCCTCCCCCTAGGCCTCCGCCCTCCCCTCCCCCTAAGCCTCCACCCTCCCCTCCCCCTAGACCACCCCCAAGCCCCCACCACTGAAATCACTCACAAGTTCTCCCCCACCAAGACCCCCTCCCTCTCCTCCCCCCAAGCCCCCTCCATTCCCTCCCCCCAAACCACCTCCCGTACCTCTGAAACCTCCTCCCAGCCCACCTAGAAAGCCCAGCCCCCCACCACCAAAACCTCCTCCTCCCAGCCCCCCCCCACCCAAGCGCAAGTACCCACCACCTCCCAAGAGGCGATGGCGCTCTTTCTCCCAGAGATGAGCCAGACTGGCAGGCTGAATTCTTTCCCTCCCAACCCCGTGAAACCCCTTTTTTAACCACCTCCTATGAAACCCGTCCCCCCACCTCCCCCGCCGAAACCCCCTTCTCCCTGGCCCCCACCACCCAACTGCAAGAACCCACCTACCACCTCCCAGAAAGCGATGGCGCTTCTCCTTTCTCAGATACCGTATGCGGGCTGAAATATGCATGAAAGGCGGGCTGAAATCCATGTCCCATCCCACCCACCCCCCACGTGAGAAAATATTTGTTTTGAGACGTCTCGTCCCGTCCCGTCCCTACACCACCAAAACTGCTTTCTCCCAGCACAGCACCCTGTCACCGCCACCCAAGCGTTGATAGGCAAACAACAACCACCTACCAGAAAGCGATGGGGTTTCTTCGTCCCCCAATGGGCCTAAAAGTGCGAGTGGAAAACCATCTAGATATTTCTGTCCTCTTATTGTACCGTACTAGTACATATTAAGGCAGATACTGTATACCACCATATAATAGGCCCCCCTACCCTGAGCAGCGAATCCAGGCCTCAACAAACGGTTGATATTAGTAGGGGCAAGCCGAGACAAGCACATGATACGGTATGATTCAATTCACACACGGCACTAAGCAACCACCGGACCAGTAAGCTTCGTTCCTTTCAGTCCACCTATTGCAACCAGTGAGGCTGCCAGCCAACTACCACTATTGAATACTTCCTTTCCCACCTCCACCCCACCATTCCAACAAGTCACCTGATACCATATCATGTCATATCATATCACACTGACCATCACCTACCGTATCTCTTTCCAGAGTTACCCCCACTCCACACAGCCACTACTCCGGCATTCCATTCCTGCACCACAGCACTCCCTTCCTTCCAGCTCCAAAATGCTGCTGAATCTTCTCCAAGGTCCCCCACCACCAAACAGCCATCCCTGTCAGGCACTTAGAATCACTCCAAAGGCCACCAACGCAATCTAGTCATCACCGTCATTATCGTCACTGCCCCCACGTCCTCCCAACCTCCGTCCCTTCCTGCCCGCACCACTCCCATTGCAGTTTCCAGACCAAGACCCACTTCCGTTGCAGTTTCCGCCTCCCCCACCGGGCTCCCCCTCAACCCCGCGCCAGCACCCTTCCCTGCGCCTGCACCCATGCGTCCCGCCGCTCCCTGCTACCCCGCCCCTCCGCTCATGCCGCCCGCTCCGCCTGCACGTCCTCCACCACCACCACCACCACCACCACCACCACCACCACCACCCACGCCTGCACCTGCGCCTGCGCCACGCCCACGGCCTTGCTGCTGCCCCGACCCCTGCCGACCAGCACCGCTGCCGCTGCCATTGCCTGTGCACCCGCCAAATCGGGAGCACTGGAAGGAACCAGAGCTGGAGCCGGAGCCGTCGCGCTTGCGGTCGTGATCGTGGTCCTGGTCACCAGACCCATCCCTCTTGCGATCCCTCTCCCGGTTGTCCGCCACCACGTACCCCGCGCTCTGCATGCCACCGCCCTGCATGGCACTGTGAATGCTCACCGCCGCCGCGATTCTCCCCGACCCTCCGCCTCCGCCCCGGCCGTTGCACGAGCCGGACCCGCCACTGCAGTTTCCACCGCCCTTCTTGCCCTGCCGCACCTTCCCCACGCTGTTGCTGCCGCCCAGCCGCCCACCACGACCCGCATCCGCACCATCGCCGCTTCCCCCGCCGCCGCCGCCCTACCGGTCGGCGCCAGCTTTCTGCTTGCCGCCGGCACCGGCGCCGCCTCCGCTGCCGCTGGCGCTGTCGGTGCAGCCGCCGGAATCGCCGCAGGAGCCGTCGCGGTCGCGGTCCCTGTCGCGATCCTAGTCGCGGTTGCCCGAGCCGTCCCTCTTGCGCTCCCTCTCGCGCTTCGGGCGGTCGTCGTCGTCGGCGTCGGCGACGGCGAAGGTCGCGAGGTTGATGAGGAGCAGGACGATCCCGAGGGCGAGAAGCTTCGACGAAGCCATCGATCGGTGTACTATTGCCGGAAAAGAGGGATGAATTTATTGTAATAAAGTACTATGGTAATAAGCTTAACTTGGTAAAGACGATGCCAACTAGCTCCAATGGACGGCTCTGAAGTGCCAAGTAGACGGTCGTCGTTAAAGTTGTCGGAGATAGACGGTAGGATCTAACGATGGCCGTCAATGTCCGGGGAAGCTGTGTCACAGTGGTTGCAATTTGCTGATTTTTGTGTGAGACTTTGGTGGAATGATACGCTTCTGGATGATGAGGGAGTTGGACGGGACGAGATAATATTTTTAGTACAAGGCCATTTCATATGACGTCGACGGCCGACGCCGAGTCGCGAACCTGCTCCGGGGCGCACTCCCGCACACTTCTGAGCTACGATGCCGCATCAGGGAGACTGTGGCGAAGGGGGGAAGGGGCGCGAGGGGGGGGGAATAGGCGGCTGCGCGGAAAGAGGTTACCGTGGAAATAGCTTTAGAATACAACCCCCCAGCCTCGAGTTGCACGCGCCAAAGCCAGAAAAAGTAACTAGACCTCTCAGCTAACTCCTCTTCCCTTCGTCAACATAATGGTATATTCTAGCGAAGGCTCCTCCTCTTGCAGTCTTGCAGCTAGCGAACGTTGCCGCTGGTCATGGTGCTCGTCGCGAGCGTGTGTTGCTGTTCGCGAAAGACGAATCCTCGCTGGAAACTTGAGGCTTTTTGCTGGAAGGGTGCTTCGTAGGAAACTGCGCTCAGTGAGGCAACCTAACGTGGGCTGGGTGTAGGTAAAAAGATATTGCTTCTTAAAAAACGATACCTATTGAATAAAGAATAAGTTACAAGCCTGTTTAATTTCTTCACTATATTCATGTTGGATGATCCATGTTAATAACAGCGTGATATACAGTGTTAAGAAATACGGGGTAAATGATGGTACTAGGATTGCATTATTCTCCCATTCACGCATGTGTGAAGATAATTATGATTGAAATTGATAGTGCTAGCGTTGTAATGAAATATAAAAATTAACATATCTTCATATTGGCTAGTGTATGTCTAGCTAGCCACTCACTGTTACAATTACACCACACTTCTAGCTGTTCCAATTACGTTGAAGCAAGCTATTAGTTCTTTCGTCGGAAGCCTCACACACACCTCCTGCTGCTTCGAGGGAAAACGGGAGTAGAGTAGACCTTGAGAGTGCGAGCCTTCGCCAGAAACGATCGTAGCTTGTACGACCGTGCAGCCAGCGTCGCGTCGCAGTCAAGCAGCACTGCTAGCCGGGATCTTGCGCGCCAGCTCAGCGCGCACTTAGAGCGTGTGGTGTCGTAAAAAGATTCTATCATGGTGCGCCAGCAAGCCTCTGTTATGATAGCACCAGATGCTGTTTGGTTACCAGCCACTGCCAAGGGGATAACCGCCGGGCAAGGCAGCTGACAGCTCACTCCTCCGACAGCTTTCGTTGCGCGACGGACCGACCTGCCATTGGCAGTTGTATCCAGCGCGGACTGGGAAGGAGAGAGGCGGTGAGTGAGTTCGTCTGGGTTTGTTTGGCAGGACAGTACTGAGGTAGTACAGTAGCGGCCAGCCAGCCTGGGTGGAACTCAACATGCGTGTGCGGCTCGTCGGGGGACGGGCCATTCCACCCGTCGCTTCCGACGAAAATTCCGAGCGCCGGAAGACTCCCTTTTCATTTCCCCCCCACCGCGCATACTCGCGCAAGCCCTCAGTCTCTCTCTCGCGGAGCGCTTAGCCCACAGCCGCCTCCGCCGAGGGGCCGGGTGCGGTGCGGATGGAGGGGGGCTCGCTCGAGTTCCGCCTTGGCTGCGCGTGCAAGTCTGGACGTCGCCTCGCCTCGCCACGTCACGTTCCGCCGCGGCATGTGTGTTGCGCGTTCTGTGTCATGTGTTGCGCTGCGCCCCGTCGCGTGTGCTTTCCAGCGGCGGCGCGCGTTGTTTCAACTCGAGCGGATAAGGTTCGCGCCTCCATCGGCCCAGTGTCGCCCGCCTGTCCAGTAGGATGCGCACTCGGCGGAAACCAGGGCGCGGCGAAACAACCACATGACAGCCCCGGCGAAACCACCGCGGCCCAGCCCGGTAATGATCGCCGCGGCACAGTCCCGAAACCATTCCCACCCAAATGCTACTACTATAAATCCCGAGTCCATTCTCGGGTTTCTCAGCATCGTTTAGACCAAATCCACCCGTTCTACTCACTCTCAATAGCAGGTTAACTCTTTTTCAGCGTCTATCGTAGGCCTGTCGTGTCCACTACTACATATACTGAGAATACCACTACCCTCCGTGGACATCTGAGAATACCGATGGCTTCGTCGAAGCTTCTCGCCCTCGGGATCCTCCTGCTCGTCGTCGTCAACCTCGCGACTTTCGCCGTCGCCGACGACGACGACGACGACGACCGTCCGAAGCGCGATCGCAAGCGGGACGGCTCCGGCAACCGCGACCAGGATCGCGACAGGGACCGCGATCGCGACGGCTCCTGCAGCAAGTCCGGCGGCTGCGCCGGCAGCGGCTCCGGCGGAAGACAGAATACTGGCGCCGGCCGGCAGGGCGGCGGCGGCGCGGGCGGGCGCGGAGGCGGAGCGGGACGAACGGGGAGCGGCGCTGGCGCTGGTGCGGGTGCGGGTCGTAGCGGGCGGCTGGGCGGCAGCAACAGCGCGGGGAAGGTGCGGCAGGGCAAGAAGGGCGGCGGAAACTGCAGCGGCGGGTCTGGCTCGTGCAACGGCGGAGGCGGAGGCGGAGGGTCGGGGAGAAACGCGGCGGCAGCGAGCATTCAGAGCGCGGGGTACGTGGTGGCGGATAACCGGGAGAGGGATCGCAAGAGGGATGGGTCTGGCGACCAGGACCGCGACCGCGACCGCAAGCGCGACGGCTCCGGCTCCAGCTCTGGTTCCTCCCAGTGCTCCCGATCTGGCGGGTGCACTGGCAATGGCAGCGGCAGCGGTGCTGGTCGGCAGGGGTCGGGGCAGCAGCAGGGCCGCGGTCGTGGCGCAGGCGCAGGTGCAGGCGTGGGTGGTGGTGGTGGTGGTGGTGGTGGACGTGCAGGCGGAGCGGGCGGCATGAGCGGAGGGGCGGGGCGGCAGGGAGCGGCTGGACGCACTGGCGCAGGTGCAGGGAAGGGGGCTGGCGCGGGGATGAGGGGGAGCGGTGGGGGAGGTGGGAACTGCAACGGAAGTGGGTCTGGTTCTGGAAACTGCAATGGGAGCGGTGCGGGCAGGCAGGGAGGGAGGAGGGGAGGACGCGGGGACAATGATGATAATGATGGTGATGACTAGATTGAGGTGGGGATCATCAGTCCAGCCTTTTTTTGCTGGAATGGCCGTGTGGTGGAGGGGGGGAAACATGGGGAAGAGACAGTTGAAGGATGGGTGAAGAAAGGTGGTGACTATGGGATGCATTTAGAGCTAGAGATGACAGTCTGATTAGGAATGGTGGGCTGGGAGCTGCTCTTTGTGCTGTGTGGGTTGCATTTCGCTTTTGTTCTGCTTTATTACACGTGATTGGTATGGTTTGTTGGGTTATTCTGAAGAAGATTACCCATTTGTGATTGTCTATCCATCTAGTGGAAAGTATTGTTCTTTGGGAGAATATCTTTCACAATAATGTCTCACAGATGTCTTCATTTAAGCTAAGCTCGTTCTGCTGCACATCTCCATAGCTAAATAGGGAACAGCACACGCATATGCAGTGACGAGCTGCAAATGGAGGTGTAGACTTTGATGGTACTTAGCAAACTTGTAACAGCGAGCGAAGAAGAAATGGTCAAGTTTATCCACTGACATGAGCAACAAATGACGAGGATCAGGTTGGACGCGTTCTCGTAGGCTGTAGAACATTCAGGAGGGATTAGGTGCGGTTGCGAGTCGTTAACTCCAGCCCTCGATTCTTCAGATTGCCTGCTCAGGGCGTGTCCAGCGCGTTCATTTCGGGATTTTTAGAGCGCACACACGTCTCAGGTTTCAAGACTGATCACTGTACCTCAAAACGAATGCCAACTGAGCCGAGTCCACAGTTTCTGGAATTTCCAGCGCGCGGACACATTTCCACCCACACAAAGATCAACAGTGCGAAAACAGCCTGGAAACCGAGGTAACCGGTTCCCTCGTGAACAGTAGGGTTAGCTTTTTCGCACATGCGCAATGTGTGTTGCCAGCGCGCAGGTGGTTTCGGCGAGAGTCGCGCGGCACTGGCGAAGTATTGCGAGCAATACGGGGGGGCACTTGCTGTAGCTTGTTGGACGCGATACTGTACCCGAGTTCGCGCGCACGCTGTATGCAGTACCGGGAGTCACACGACTCGAGGTACGTGCAGCTGGCGTGCCGTCTCATGTACAATTGCTGGTCATGTCCACCCTTTCAGTAAAATGTAGTGTTACAACTCCAAATGTGGTAACTGACAGGATTTATGAACGGTAAATGTACGCGCTGGACACCCCCTCACAATATGTCCCAACAATCCTGGTTCTCCTAGGTGGGCTGGTCAGTCTCTGGGCTCTGTACTGAAGTATAGGCTGGATGCTTTCAGAATCTGCGGTACGGATAGTGGGCGAGGAGCACTAGCTTCAGAATCTGAATACGAGGACGAGAACCGAGGTGTTATTTCTGCATTTAGGTAGCAAATTTTACCGGCGAGTGAAAAGTAGTCAGTCGGTTACCTGCTAATTTCACTTGCACAGACCGGAACTAGCTTGTAGCAGATTAGACTAGCTTACCGCAACTGGCTTTCGACTGGACTCAAGTCATCTCTTCGATTTGAACGAAGTTTAGCGAATCACACGGAATCCGCGATGAAGCTTCTGAAGAGAAGCTTCGAGAAAGACGGCCCAGGGGTGGCCAAGGTGTGCTGGGTGGAGTATGGGGTTCTTTCCTTCTGTGAATACTCTCTTCTTACCGTTGGAATCCGCGATGAAGCTTCTGAAGAGGAGCTTCGAGAAAGACGGCCCAGGGGTGGCCAAGGTGTGATGGAAGAATGGGACGATTCCCTTTGAAGTACTCGCATGTCACATATAAAGGAGAAGAGGATTATGTTGTATGGTTAAGGATGCAATGCGATACTTATGGTCACGTGTTAGAGACTCCTCGGAAATGTTATTGGGTGTGTTATCGTACACACAGTCGTGATCCCTCCGACGTTCCTCCTACTATCTCCCTGCTTTCATAAACGCCCCGCAAACCTCTGCCACCTCTCCCCTTTCCCTCCTCGATCTTCTCCCCCCTAGATCGTACCCGAGGGTGGAGGAGGACCTATGGCATGCGTACAACCTCATTCCTCGTCCTTCTATCCTTAACCCCCTTTCTGTCCTCCCCTCCCCCTTTCCCCCCTCCCTCCCCCCCCAACCCCTCCCTCAATCCAGATCGTACCTGAAGTGGAGGAGGACCTATGGCATGCGTACAACCTCATTGCTCCGCATGACCATGTGCAGAGCACCACGTTCAGGTTCGTGCTCAGGTGGATGCTCAGGTACCTGAATGGACCCTCATACCTGAACGCTCGGGTGGTCTTTACAGTACCTGAACTAACGCAGCAGGCAATCTTTGTGGGTCATCTCAATCAACTTCTCATGCGCTGACTGACTGACTCACATTTTGAGTCGACTCGAAATTCGGTCGGGTGGTTCTTTGTACAGTTCCTGAACTGAAGTAACGCAGAAAGAAATCCTCGTGGCTCAACTCAGTAATCTTCTCATGTGCTGTCTCAAATTCCCCAAACCAACACTCGCTCCCTCCGTCCTACAAATCTACCTCCCTCCTACAAATCTACCTCCCTCTTCCTGCTGGATGGTTCCAGGAAGGTGCAGAAGGAGACGGGAGGGGGCGGCAGTGAGTCGGAGAGGATCAAGCTGAGGCTGGAAGTGACAGTGGAGGTGAGTGGGGAGGGCGGTGGGTGAGAGAGACACTAGAGCGAGGATAACAGGTGTTGGATTAAGGTCAGGACGGAGAGGGAGAAGGCAAGGCTTTGGGGTGTTGAGAGACAGCAGTGAGTCTGAGCGGATGAAATTGAGGGTGGAAGTGGCAGTGGAGGTGAGAGAGAGGAGGGTGGTGGGTGAGAGTGACCATAGAGTGAGGATAGCAGGTTTTGGGATAAGGTCAGGGAGGGAGATGAGAGGAGCTGTGGGGGTGGGGTTGAGAGGCAGCAGTTAGTCTGAGCGGATCAAATTGAGGCTGGAAGTGGAAGTGGAGGTGAGGTGAGAGGGGAGGGCGGTTGTGGGGTTAGAAAGTAACCTGGGGGCATACATTGTATTGTAGCAGGGTGGTAATGGCTTTTACGTATCGATTTTTCTTGTGTTTCTAAAGTGCGTGTCATTCAATTTTGTGAAGAAAAACAAAAAATGGGATACTACCTGCTTTCCGTGATTAATCCGCCCCTTCCAACTGTTATTTAACAGGAAGTCGATTTCGACGCATCGGCACACGTCATTCGAGTTCGCGGCAAAAACATTACTGAGAATGAGCATGTGAAGGTGAGGGGAGTCTTGCTGAAAACGAGTGAAGAGTAAACGGGTGTGAAACGAGTGTGTGAGTGTTGTGTCACACACATAACTGTCCTCTCTTGCCCATATCTGCCCTTACGCTGTTCTGCTCTCATCTGCTCCCTACACAACACCTGGGGGGGACACACCACACACACATTGGAGCTGGATCTACACCTTTCTTATCCAGCTGTCCTTTCTCCTTCCGGTTCCACCCACATCTGCCCATACGCTGTTCTCATGCCGCTCTCTTGTGTGGTTGCTAAACCCCTACACGGCAGCTGGGGACTTTTGAGGCGCCTCAAAAGTGTTCTCATGCCGCTCTCTCGTGTGGTTGGCTAAACCCCTACACGGCAGCTGGGGTCATATCACACACACACTGGAGCTGGATCTGCAACGTGGTCGTTTGTAATCAGCTATGCCTCTCTCACGCTGCTCTCATCTCATCTGCTCCCGTCATCGCAGCTAGGGTCATACCACACACTGGAGCTGGATCTGCAGCGGGCCTTCACACTCACCAAGGTACTATTTCCAAGTACCATCTTCCTCCGTTGTTGTTCCGTCGTAGATTGGCATTTTTTCCATTGCTGCCAAACTCGGAGTGTCCACGGCATGCCTGGCGGATCTGGGCCTTCACAACCCCCCTGATAAAAGTGTTGTTTTGAGACGTCTCAAAACAACTCGGGGTGTCCACGGCATGCCTGGCGGATCTGGGCCTTCACGACCCTCCTTCCATGATTCTCACCCCCCTTCCCCCCCCCCCCCCCCCACCCCACCACACCTCTTTTGCCATGCCCTTGATGTCTTGCTTCCTCAGGACGTGTGGGACTCAGTGGCTATAGACCGACTCAAGGAGGCATGTGGTGAGTGGGTGGAGGGGAACATGGGTATGGGATGGGAGGGAGGATTTGGTGGGCTGTAAGGATGGCTGACACGGGACGAGTGGGGGTTTGCAGTGAGTGGTACGGCGTGTGGGACTCATTGGCGATAGACCGGCTCAAGGAGGCAAACGGTGAGTGTGTTTAAACTTTAAAGAGATTATGGATATGGGGGGATTTAGTGTGATTTTGTAGGGCATTAAAAGATAACGTGGGAGGCAGTGGTGGTGGTGGTGTTTGTGCTGAAAGGGTTTAATTAGGTTAGAGACACTTTGAGGGGAAAGAGAACGTCCATTTTTTTTCCCTCACAACTGCTGTTCCTCTCCACGTCCTACAGTCATTTCATCGGACCCAATCATGCAAACGTGTCATCTGCTTTGAGACGTCTCAAAAAACTCGACTTTTATCACGGGCCTTCTCCTTTCCCCGTCCTCCAATCATTTCAGAGGACCCAATCGTGCTGAATGGTCGTCTGCTTTCGCTCTCTCCTTTCGCAGTCCCTTCAGTTCAGGGAACGTGTTTTTTCCCCCCTTTGCCGTTCCCTTTTCCTTCTTTCCCCGTCCCCCCGTGCCTTTTCCTTTCCATTCCCTTACCTCTCCCTTCCCCCCTTCCCAAACCCACACAAACCCCTCCCTTCCCCCCTCTTCTTCCTCCAGACCCATCAGCCAATGCGGACCTACTAGTGGTGGTGATACAGGAGGGGCTGGCTAACGTTTGTCCTACAAACCCAGTGTCCCCTTCTCTCTCCCACCTCTCCCATTCCTCCACCTCTTCCCTCTACCCCACCCCAACCCACCACTCCCACTTCCCCCCCCCCCGCCCTTCCCCCTCTGTCCTCCAGACCCCTCAGCCAATGCGGACCTAGCAGTGGTGGTGATACAGGAGGGGGTGGCTAGCGTGTGACCCACAAACCCAATGCCCTTTCCTCTCTCCCACCTCTCCAATTCCCCCACCTCTTCCTTCCCCCCCACCCCAACCCACCCATCCCACTCCCCCCTCCCCCCTTCCCCGCCCTTTCCCTTCTGTCCCACAGACCCTTCAGCCAATGCGGACTTAGCAGTGGTGGTGATGCAGGAGGGGCTGGCTAACGTTTGTCTTATTGGGGGGAGGTGAGATCTGGGGGAGGGGAGATCGTGGGAGGTGAGATTCAGGTGCTGCTGAGGCACCCAAAGAACTGCCTTGGCCGTGTATCTCTGTTCGTGCCCAAATAAATTATGGAATCTGAGCGTCTGGATTGAGTTTGACCCATTTTGAAGAGGCGACATTAGGGGAAAGGGAGTTCTATGGATACTGTGGTATTTTTTACCTGTGCTATTCTTTCTCTGTGCAGAGTTAAGCTGCTCTGAAGAGTTTTGGCGACCTATCAAATCCCCATTTGTACCTTCTTTTCCCATGTAAACAGCGTGACTACAGTAAAAGCGCGCATAGAGACGCCAATCCCAAGAAAACGAGGGCCGGCAATTGCAGGATATGATAAGGTGTGTGTGAGCGAGCATCGAGCCCTATTGCATGGTTGGTTGGCTTTTGAGTCGACTCAAAAGTCAACTGTGTGTGAGCATCGAGCCCTATTGCATGGTTGGTTGGTGGTGGAGATGGTGGGGTGTTTTTTGAGAATTCTCTTTTGAGGTGACTTTTTAGCTGGCTTGAGATTCAGAACGAGCTCTGGCCATTGCGGGATTTGATAAGGTGGTAGTTGGACGGGGTGGGGTGACTTCTGAGGTGACTTTTTTAAATGATTCAAAAGTCAGAACGAGGGCCGAAACATTGCCCTTGCGGGATATTATCAGGTGTGTGTGATGCCCTCTGGGTGGCCGGTTGACGTGGTGGGTGAGAGCAAGCAAATGGGCATATGAGTGATGCGTGTGATGCGTGCGTGAGGGATATGTGAGTTGCTTGCTAGTCAGAGTAAAGAATGCACTCTTTTGATTCATGCCTCTCTTTGTTCCCCCCATCCCACCATCTCACGTGCAGGCAATCAATAAGTTCTTCGAGAATGTATTTCAGGTGAGCATGCCTTTGAGCTGATCTGATCTTCCCCGGAGTAACTCCCTCCTTTCCCTGTGAGGTTCTGCATACTATGTTCTGAGAGCTTTCGAATTGCATCTTCTTAATTTGCTCTCAACCTCTTTCCTTCTCCCCTTTCATCTCCGTCTCCCCTCTCCTTTGCCTCTCCCCATCTCGTCCATTTCCCCCCTCCCTTACGCTCCTTCTCTTCTCTCTGCTCGTCTCATCCACAGGGTGTGCAACGGCACATTGACTTCAACGTTATCCGCTGCCTGCTTATAGCGAGTCCTGGATTCACCAAGGTACTGTCCTTCCACTGCTGTTCATCACATCCTCGTTATAACGTGCTCCTCTATTAGCAGCTTCGCCGTGTACATAACCAGCTCTTTGATACTAAAAGTGCCCTGCCTTCATTTTACTCTTTGATGCTCTCCTCCGATCGGATCACTGTCACATGGCACATGACCATGTTTGGACTGGGAGGGCTTTTGAGGTGCCTAAAAAAAACATGGCACAGGAGGAGCTGGTTTTTGAGAATTCTCAAAAAACAGCTGTCACTGGCACAGGACCATGTTTGTACTGGAAGGAAGCTTGCTGTATGTCAGGCGTTTCAGTGATCCCATATGTGCTATGTTGTCCCCCTCTTCCTATCCGATCTATGTCAGATGCCTTGCTACCAATACGTCGTTGACCCTACATACTCTGTTACCACGCATGCTATCCTTCTGTTTACCAATCACTCCCGCACAGCACAGGACCAGTTCTTGAGTACATGATGCTGGAAGGAAGCTTGGTCCGTGTCAGTCAGATGCCTTAACTATACATACATGCTCTGCATTCTCACTCCTCCCTCCGTCACTCCCACACAGCACAGGACCAGTTCTTTGAGTACATGATGCTGGAAGCAACACGGCAGAACATCCGAGCCATCATAGAGAACAAGGCTAAGATCGTGCTCGCACATTCAACATCGGGATACAAGTGAGTATGTGGGGGAGGATGAGTGGTGTTGAGACGTCTCAAGTGCGACCCAGCAGAACATCCGAGCCATCATAGAGAACAAGGCTAAGATCATGCTCGCACATTCAACATCGGGATACAAGGGGGGGATGGATGATACAGATGGGAGAGATATTCATGCTTGTGGAGTGGCAGTATATCCGAGCCATCATAGAGAACAGGGCAAAAATTGTCCTGGCGCACTCAACATCGGGATACAAGTGAGTGAGTTGGGGAAATGAATTATACAAATGGGAGGGGTATTTATGCTTGTGGAGCGGCAGAACATCCGAGCTATCATTGAGAACAAGGCCAAGATCGTGCTGGCGCATTCCACGTCGGGATACAAGTGAGTAAAAGGGGGGTGGTGAGTGAATGGGGGGTGCTGTAGCAGCTAGGCGTGGGATGCAAGTGAGGAGGGAAAGGCTGTAGCATCTATGCTGGCATGTTCAAGCATGAATGATGCTAGTAAGTGGGGTGTTGATGCTTGCTTGTAGAGTGGGCGAGCAGCAGCAATCATGGAGAGGCAAGGCCAAGATCCTGCTCGAGCATTTCACATCGGGATACAAGTGAGTATGTGGGGGGTGGGGATGAATGATACAAATGGGAGGGATGTTCATGCTGCCGAACATCCGAGCCATCATGGAGAGGCAAGGCCACGATCATGCTCGAGCATTCCACATGGGGATACAAGTGTGTGTGGGAAGGGGGGGGGGGGGGGGGCAGTTGGATGGTTATTGTAGCCTTTACAAGTGAGTGGGGCTTTGATGTTTGTGGAGTAGAGTGGGCGAGCAGCAGTCATTATGGAGAAGCAAGGCCAACATCGTGATTGAGCATCCCAAATCGGGATACTAGTGTGCTGGAAAATTGTCATCAGAGCACACTTGTTGGTGCCTGATTACTGTATCACGATCAGCTGGTTCTAGAATTTTCTGAAGAAAGAGCGCCCTGATTTTAGGGTGTATGGTTGTGTGCATGCACCCGTGCCTGCTGGTGTCGACATCATGGTGCCTGCTGGTGTCGACATCATGGTGCCCTGTGCAGGCATGCAGTGAAAGTGGTGTTGGCATAAGCCAGAATAGTAAGATTGAAGGCACAAGTTAGGACGTATTTGCCCCTCCCCATGTTGATTTGACTGTGTCCCATGCAGGCACGCAGTGAAAGAGGTCTTGGCGCTGCCAGCTATCATGACTCAAATCAAAGACACCAAGGCAGCTAAGGAGGTGAGTGGGTGAGTGGGTGAGTGGGTGAGTGAGTGAGTGAGTGAGTGAGTGAGTGAGTGAGTGAGTGAGGGCGTGAGTGTTTGAGTGAGTGAGTGAGTGAGGGAGTGAGTGAATGAGTGAGTGAGTGAGTGAGTGAGTGAGTGAGGAGTAAGTGAGTGCATGATTGAGTGGGTGGGTGGGACAGTGATGGAGGAGGAGAAGCTAAATATGGTGTGGTCTGGTTACATGTGGGTTGTGTTCCGACCCATGACCCATGATGATCTATGAACCATGACCCATGATGATCTATGACCCATGACCCATGATGATCTATGACCCATGACCCATGATGATCTATGACCCATGACCCATGATGATCTATGACCCATGACCCATGATGACCTATGACCCATGAGCCATGATGATCTATGACCCATGACCCATGATGATCTATGATCCATGAGCCATGATGGTCTATGACCCTGACCCATTTTGAGGCGTCTCAAGATCCCTTTTGTGCTTCTCATCACATCGCTTCGCCCAGAGGCGGCTTGCGAGCTGGCTGGCCCAAAACATCGTCTCCCTCCCCTTCCCAACTACCCCCTTTTGTTCCTCCCATTGATTCCCCTTGGACATGCTAAAGGCGCACATCATGCTCTCAGGTGTGATTTTAGCTGACATCCGTTTTTTTAGAATTCTCAAAAATCTGCCTTCGTTTCCCTTCTCCACCCTTTCTCCCTACCTGCGATGTCTTGTGGCCAGGTCAAAGCACTCGAGGACTTCTATGCCAAGCTCTCAAACGTGATCTGATCATCTAAGCCCTCCTGCTTTTTCCCCCCACCTTCCCCAACTCCTTTTTCTTCCTCCTGTGCCTTGTGGCCAGGTCAAAGCACTCGAGGACTTCTATGCCATGCTCTCAAACGTAAGTGCACCTGCATTGTAGTCAATTGTGAGAAATCTAAACGACGACCGTAAGTGCGGCTGCCTATGACGAAACGGATGTATTCCTTGTTCTTGTTGTCATTCTCCCCTCCACGACTCAGCAGCACAGCCGTTTGCACAAAATTCAAGCTGTCGATAAGAATTGCAATCTCAGTTGGAGGCATGTGCTGCACAGGCACAGCTCGTGTGTTTCTAGAGTCAGCTCAAAAGCATGTGCTGCTGCACAGCTCACTTTTGAGTCGACTCAAAAGAAAATTCAAGCTGTCGATGAGATGTTTTACTTGCAATCTCAGTTGGAGGCATGTGCTGCACAGCTCGTGTGTTTCTAGAGTCGGCTCAGAAATTGTCTACGACCCCTCTCTCCTCATGCCGCCATGCCGCCTTCAATGCTGCAGGACTCAGCGGGTGCCTTTTACGGTCCCAGGCACGTGGAAGCAGCAAACGAGCGCCTTGCCATTCACACACTCCTATCTCATATTACCTTTTTTGGTATGCTCAGTCCCTCCTCTAACCCTTCTCTCTCCACACTTCCACAGGACTCAGCACGGGCCTTCTACGGTCCCGGGCACGTGGAAGCAGCAAATGAGCGCCTTGCCATTCACACACTCCTCATTTCTGATGACTTGTTCCGGTGGGCATCTTTTCATTCCTTGCTGGCTGATTCTCAAAATGGCTCATTTGTGTCACAAGGCAGCAAACGAGCGCCTTACCATTCACACGCTTCTCATTTCTGATGACTTGTTCCGGTGAGGACCTACTGATTGCCAGCTAACTTGTTGGTTTCCTCTCAATTCAAAATCTCAAACTTGGTTGTTTGCTTGTTTGCTTGCTTTTTCCAGATCAGCAAACAACCAAACAAACAACAGGGAGCAAGCCCTCACCTTCCTCAACCTCCCTGTTGTTTGTTTGTTTGTTTGCTGATCTGTTGTTGTTTGTTTGTTTGCTTGCTGATCTCTTCCCTCCCTGTTGTTTGTTTGTTTGCTTGCTTTTTCCAGATCAGCTCTGTAATTTAATGGTGCCTGTTTTCGGGGTGCTCACGTGTCTGATTTCCTGTGCACTTGCTGTAACCATCCCCCTCCTCCTACTCCCCCACCACCCCACTCCCCTTTTTTCACAGCAACGCCGATGTGAAGACTAGAAGGCGTTACGTGGACTTGGTGGAATCAGTGAGGGCGTATGGCGGGCAAGTGCACGTCTTCTCCCCCTCTCCTCCACAAACCCCCCCTTCCCCCCCTCCCCCTCGCCTTTCCCCCCCACCATCACCAACCCACTCCCCTTTTACCACAGGAATGTGGATGTGAAGACTAGAAGACGCTACGTGGATCTGGTGGAATCAGTGAGGGCGAATGGCGGCCAAGTGCACGTCTTCCCCTCCCTGCATGTCTCTGTCTCGCCTCCTCTCCCAACCCCCGTACACCCCTTGTTTCACAGCAATGCCGATGTGAAGACTAGAAGACGCTACGTGGACTTAGTGGAATCAGTGAGGGCGAATGGCGGCCAAGTGCACGTCTTCTCCTCCCTGCACGTCTCTGGCGAGCGTATGTATCCCACTCCACACCACAAGTTTTGTTGTTGCCTGCAACATCCCGCATACCACATGTTACAAGCTAACATGTGCTTCTGCCGGTATGCATTATGTCTCCGTCTCATTCTCTCTTCTGTCGCCTTTGTGGTATGCCTTTCTGCTTTGAGCAGAGCTGGTGAATCTTGCTGGGATCGCTGCAATTCTTCGCTTCCCACTGCCAGAATTGGAAGACATGGAACTATAGGCTCCTTCCCACCAATGAAACACCAGACTGGAAGACGTGGAGCTTTAGTTCTGCTTTTGAGTCGACTCAAGCAATCCTGCGCTTCCCACTGCCAGAATTGGATGGTTCCCTACTTTGAAGGAGCCCCTTTGCAGCTTGATTTTAGCATGACCAGTCTGACATAGTTGAATGGTTCCTGAAGAATAATAATATATACATTTATAATAACCGTTTCAGATGGGGTGATACCTGCACAAGCAGGGATGGTTCTAATCTAAGCACAAGCAGGCAGTGGTTTCCCGCACAGGTTGGGGTTCCCTGGTTTGAACGAGCCTCTCTTCAGCTTGCTCAGAGCCACCGGGACAGCCCCTGACAGCCGGTTCCCTGCCAGCAGCACGTTCTGTATGCCTGCTGGCCAAACCGCGGGAATTGTCCCCGACAGCGTGTTGTACGATAACCCGAGTCCCTGTAATCGCTGCAGTTTGCTCACGCCAGCTGGGATTGATCCTGCAAGGGTGTTCTTGTCGAGGAGAAGGCGCTTGAGGCGGGTAAAGGAGCTGATTGTAGCGGGGATGGGGCCGGAGAGGCGGTTGGAGGAGAGGTAGAGGAAGGAGAGGGAGGCGGAGCAGGAGGGGGAGAGTGGGGTGGGCGGGCCGGAGAGGGCATTGTGAGCGAGGTTGAGGAAGGTGAGGACTTGCTTGGCCTGGCAGAAGGCGGGAATGGGGCCTGAGGGGTGGGGGGATCACCAGGGAGGGAAGAGACGATTTTGGGTTGACGAGGGTTGGAGTATGAGGGAAGGGAGAGGGAAGGTAGGAGCGAGTAAGGATCGGGGAGGCAAACCAGAAATGTACAAAAGGAGTGAACACGAAGGGCGAAAAAACAGTCAGCTCAGCTTACCTGTCAGTGCGTTTGCCCCAAGGTCTAGGTAGATTAGCTGGGGTAAATTGGTGAGGCTTTGGGGAATTCCTCCTGTAAATCTGTTGAATCCCAGGTCCAGAGCCGCAATGCTCTTGGGCAGGTTCGCAAAGGCCTGCAAGCTGCCCGAGAAGTTGTTGTGGCTCAAGAAGATGGCAAGCTGCATAGGATTTGCGGTCTTGAAACAGTTCGCTGGAACGGTTCCAGTCAGGCGATTGCGCGAAAAATCAGCACTTTCAAGGCTGCCCGAACTGCACAAAATCTGCGGGAATGAGCCCGAAAATAAGTTATCTGAAACATCAATGAAGCTCAGATATTCGCTGAACCGGATCGTGTTGAAGTTTCCGGTCAGCCTGTTCCGGCTTAGGCCAATGAGAGTAGCTTTTATTTGCTGCCTGCTCAGGTCGCCAGATAGCCGGTTCCGATCTAAAATAAGTGCCAACAGCTCCATTTTCAGCAGGGCAGGTGGAATATTTCCGGTCAGCCCATTCGTGTTTAGAAGAACCACCCGAAGCATGGGCAGCGTCGCGAGGGCAGCGGGAATCGGCCCGGATAGCCAATTGATTCCGAGATCCAAAGTACTTAGCGACGCCATCGAAGCGTATGCAGCACGGCGTTGTGGTAACCCGCCGGAGAAGAAATTTCGCGACGCGGTCAGGGAGTAAAGATTCGGCAGGCGAAAAAACGCGACGGGAAGAGAGCCAGCGAAGCAGTTATCCTGTAGATCAACAGTGTCGAGTTTCGTAAGCCGGGAAAGCGACGCAGGGACTGAGCCAGCAAGCCAAAGGTTATACATGCGAAGCTCGACGAGATCTGTTAACTGGCCGATAGACTCGGAGAGGGTCGCGGGGAACTTTCCGCCGGGTTCGCGCGCGGTACGGTTGCAAAGGTAACGCGAGGGTGGGAGCAAGAGACGGCTGACGCTGCTCGTGAGGTTTAGCGCTACTACAGCGCCGTTCGCGGCACAAGTCACGCCGAGCCACGCGCACGCGTTCGCCTTGTTCACCGGGATGGGCAGCAGCGCTGCCGTGAAAATCGCCTTAAGAGCCGCCGTGTTAGCCTCCGACGCCTGCGGCGAGGCTGCGGACACGCGTAACCCTAAACTCGTGGACAGGCCGTGAGTGGAGCTGGTTCCGCCGCCCGCCGACGCCCCTTCCGCGCGCTCCGCGGCAAATGCTCTTTCCGCGGGTAATATTTTCTCCGCGGATGTTTCCTCCGCCCGCGGTGCGGCAAAACGCTGTGCCGCGGGAGGCAGAACTGTCCGCGCGGAGACTCCTCGCCCGCGGCGAGCATCATGAAGGTTCGATATAAACTGCCTCGATATGGGCCGGAGAGCCGTTGTCGGTGAGCAGTAGAGGAACAGCAGAAGGAGGCACGTTGTAGTGCTAGCATGAGCGCGCAGCGCGCCGTAAGGGACGGTGGTCGAGCCCGCGATTCTAGGATAATTCGCGCCAGCCATTATGTGCAATTGTGACTCGCGTAGCTTCTTATCATAGGCTAGGATAAGGCTTATATGCGTTTCTAGCGAGGAAGTTGAGATGAAAGGGAACGTATAGAGATGGAATAAATCATGGAGTTTGACCTTCCTATATATCTCGTGCTGAACCTTTGCCTATCCGTAAATAAGCGCAAGCAACGTATGCGCTGAATGTAAGTGCTGCGAGGGCGATAAGGCAAATGCCTGCTGTTACAGCAGTACGGACGAGTGAAATAGACGCGACAGGTTTGCTATGGTTTAGGGTGGTTTGGGTTGGGTTGACTGAGGTGAGAGACGAGGCAACCATGAGGAAGGAAGTTGGAGAGAGGAGGCAACTTCGCACGCACTATGGGCGAGGCAACTAGGAATTGGTGCAAGCAACTGTCGAATGCAGCAGTTATTGAAGGAGACTACATTGATGAATTATCGATAGTTCAAATACCGTCCATAACCGCTACAGTCTGATGCAGAACGGCGATCGAGACAACGCAAATTTTCTTGCTGGGCAATTTGGAGGTTGGGTTGGGCGGTGCGGTGTGATTTGCATTTACGCTTGAGCAGTTTGTGGGTGAAGAGTGCGATGCGAAACACGGTCAGCCTGAAACCGCTTCTCTTGATGTCCAGTCAGCGGCCAGGCTGTCAGGAGATAAAACGGTTTTAGCTTATTTTGGTCTTCCTCCTACAGTAATTACTCCCACGTGGAGAAGGTAATGTCTAAGCGTGGCAGGCACGACACAAATTTCAAGCGTCAATCCCAGTCATTCAACTCCTGCGCCTTCAACAATCTCAAATCACCCCCTACAGTGGCAACTATTTTTCTGCACTAAACGGGATATAAGTACTATAATTGTAGCGATAGCTTTCATGTGATTATGTTAAAACGGGACACTCTTGTTCAAGGATTCAACGGATTGGCAGGGTTCCACGAGTACGCGACAAGCACGAGAAAGCCCGTGATCAACGCGAACCACGCCATTGCGTTGTCTGCATCACACAACAAACATCAACAACTAGAGAAAAAAAACAAAACAAAATATTTAAAATGATGAGTGCATTCAAACGCCTACCTTGCTGCAGTTTTATCAGCCTTGGACGGTCGTCGATCTCCGAATCTGACACGTCACCCTTAGATGCTGCAGCTGCTGCCAACCGGTCTATTTCGTCCATATCAATTGGACTCACACCAGGAGCCTTTCCAAAAGGGCTCCAATTTTTGAAGGGGAAAGGTAAGGGAGGGAGGGAGTCAGTGAATTTAAAGAATGCAGGGGGGAGCAAAGTCTTTTCCTCCTCCCTGCTTTCTGCCCTGCTTCCGGTGTCGTCAGGATTAGTGAATATCTCAAAGGGTGGTTCTGATTCGATCAGTGTCGCTGGTAGTGGTGTACTTGCCTCCTTTGCTGCAGCAGCTGCTGCGGCTGACGAGGGTGCAACTGCGGCTGATGGCAATGATTCTGCTGCTACTGCTGCTGACGATTTTGCTGCTGCTGCTGCTGATGATGAAGATGAAGCGGATGCAGTTGCTACATATGCAGAAGCCATGACTGGCACAGGCACTGGAGCTATAGCTTTTTCAGGAAGTTGACTTGGAGGTGAAGAAACAGGGAGATTGGGGACATCCTTTGCTGTGATTTTTGTAGGTACGATGGGAGGGAGGTCCGGTATAGTAGGCAGGTTCGGAGAAGCAGGGAGGAGAGGCGCAGGAACGGTGGACTCACTGTTGAGAGCAGTGGCTCTGAAAGAGAAGAGAGGGCAGACGTGGGAATATTTTCAAATGGATTCTCACTGCTGTGAATTTAAAAATATTCATGTTAATCTAGCATACAGTGGGTGGACTCACTGTCACGACAGGCGGATTTGAGAGAAGAAACGGCAACAGTTGTGGGTGGGGACGGATGGATAAGGTTGGGGGAGGGGGGGGGAGGGAGGGGGGGATCCGAGGTGTGTGGAGAGATGTTGGTCACGGTTGAAATCAATAAAAAGAAAGCGTATTCTCGTACGCATTCAGTTAGCCCACCCATGACTCAGCTAGACCTTTCAGCAGCAGCCAAATAACTGGCAATGTCGTTGCCAGCTGACCTCCATTTCCCATTTCCCCTTTCTTCCCCTCCCCCTCCCCCCTCTCTCCTTCCCCGTGCGCACAAGGAGTCGACTCACCTCACCGTACAGGTACCTCACGTGGGCTTCAATTCAAGGATGGATGGGACCGCTCCGCTCTGATGATCAAAGAATCAGAACCAAGGCTCACCTGCCCTTCGCCCATGACTTTTGAGGCGCCTCAAAGGTTAGTAACCAAGGCTCACCTGAACGTTCGCCACAACTGAACTGAAGCTGTTGAAAATTCCAATGCATGTAGTAGAGAACTAACCACGGCTCAGCTGTCTTTCATCCATGACCGAAGCCCTTTGACCACGAAGTGAAACAAACTAGAGATCAACACGCACACAGCCACCCATGACCTACACCCTTTGACAAAGCAGGCCAACAGTGATGAGACACTTTTATGTCAATTTAGAAAACCTCCTATTTAAAGAAACAATAACCGAAACTCACCCGGCTTTCATCTATGACTGAGTATCTTTGACCAGCATGCCAACAGCGATAAGGCATTTTTTTTTGTTGTCAACTGAGAAAA